TCTCCGTCGAATCTGAATGAGATCCTTGCAGGGTAGAGTAATCTTGGTTGTAGTTTCTTCCCTTTCATCACTTTAAGTATATCACGCCACTCCCTTCTAGCTGGTAGAGTTTCTGCTGAGAAATCAGCTGTTAACCTTATGGGAGTTCTCCTGTATGTCATTTGTCATTTTTCCCTTGTTGCTTTCAGTAACTTTTCGTTGTGTTTAATTTTTGTTAATTCAATTACTGTGTGTCTCAGCGTGTTTCTCCTTGTGTTTATCTTGCCTGGGACTCTCTGCACTTCCTGGAATTGGGTGGCTATTTCCTTTCCCACGTTAGGGAAGTTTTTGTCTATAACCTCTTCAGATATTTTCTCTGGTCCTTTCTCTCTCTCTTCTCCTTCTGCGACCCCTATAATGCAAATGTTGTTGCGTTTAATGTTGTCCCAGAGGTCTCTTACGCTGTCTTCATTTCTTTTCATTCTTTTTTCTTTATTCTGTTCCGCAGCAGTGAATTCCACCATTCTGTCTTCCAGGTCACTTATCCGTTTTTCTGCCTCAGTTATTCTGCTATTGATTCCTTCTAGTGTAGGTTTTTTTTTAAATTTTATTTATTTATTCATTTTTGGCTGTGTTGGGTCTTCGTTTCTCTGCGTGGGCTTTCTCTAGTTGCGGTGAGCAGGGGCCACTGTTCATCACGGTGCGTGGGCCACTCACCGTCACGGCCTCTCGTTGCGGAGCACAAACTCCAGACGTGCAGGCTCAGTAGTTGTGCCTCATGGGCCTGGTTGCTCCGTGGCATGTGGGATCTTCTGTTCTTCTTCTGCGACCCCTATAAGTCGAATGTTGGTGACTTAAATGTTGTCCCAGAGATCTCTGAGACTGTCCTCAATTCTTTTCATTCTTTTTTCTTTTTTCTGCTCCCTGGCAGTTATTTCCACCATTTTATCTTCCAGCTCACTTATCTGTTCTTCTGCCTCCGTTATTCTGTTATTGGTTCCTTGTAGAGTATTTTCAGTTTCAGTAATTGTATTGTTTATCACTGTTTGCTCTTTAGTTCTTCTAGATCCTTGTTAAATGTTTCTTGTATTTTCTCCATTCTGTTTCTGAGATTTTGGATCATCTTTACTGTCATTACTCTGAATTCTTTTTCAGGTAGGTTGCCTATTTCATGTTCATTTATTTGGTCTTGTAGGTTTTTACCTTGCTCCTTCATCTGTAACAAATTTTTTTGTCATTTCTTTTTTTTTTTTTAATGGGTGATGCTCTATTCCTGTCTTACTGGTTGTTTGGCCTGAGATGTCCAGCACTGGAGTTTGCAGGCAGTTAGATAGAGCTGGGTCTTGGTGCTGAGATGAGGACCTCTGGGAGGCCTCACTCTGATTGATATTCCCTGGGGTGTGAGGTTCTCTGTTAGTCCAGCAGTTTGGACTCAGAGCTCCCACCACAGGAACTCAGTCCCGACCTCTGGCCTGGGAACCAAGATCCCACAGCCTGTTCGCTGGGGGTTCCTCCTGTTCCCTTAGGTGTCTATAGTCCGTCACCAATGCCTGGTAGGTTCCCTAGTTGTGAGGAGCCACAAATTCCACGTACTCCTAGTACGCCATCTTGACTCCACCCTTCAGCGTGGACATTTTAATAATATTAATTCCTTTTTAAAATAAATTTATTTATTTTCCTATTTTTTGGCTGTGTTGGGTCTTAATTGCTGCACGTGGGCTTTCTCTAGTTGCAGGGAGCAGGGGCTACTCTTCATTGTGGTGCGTGGGCTTCTCATTGTGGTGGCCTCTCTTGTTTCAGAGAACAGGCTCTAGGCAGGCGGGCTTCAGTAGTTGTGGCTCACGGGCACTAGACTGCAGGCTCAGTAGTTGTGGCACACGGGTCTAGTTGCTCCATGGCAGTGGGATCTTCCTGGACCAGGGCTCAAACTTGTGTCCCCTGCATTGGCAGGCATACTCTTAACCACTGCGCCACCAGCGAAGTCCCACAATATTAATTCTTTTGATCCATGAACACAAGTTATCTTTCCATTTATTTGTGTCTTCATCAGTTTCTTTCATCAGTGTTTTATCAGTTTTGGTGTATAGATTTTCACTTTCTTGGTTAATTTATTTCTAGGTATTTTATTGTTTTTGATGTCAATGTAAATGAGATTGTTTTCTTTATTTTTTTTTCAGATAGTCCATTGTTAGTGTATAGAAACACAACTGATTTTGTATCCTGAAAGTTTACTGAGTTTGTTGATTAGTTCTAACAGTTTTTTGATGGAGTCTTAAGGATTTTCTCTATACAAGATCATGTCATCAGCAAACAGTTTTACTTTATTTCTGATTTAGAAGCCTTTTATTTGTTTTTCTTGTTAATTTCTCTGGCCAGGACTTATGGTACTTTGTTGAAAAGTAGTGGTGAGAGTGGGCACCCTTATCTTGTTCCTGATCTTAGAGAAAAAGCTTTCACCTTTTCACCATGGAGTATGATGTTAGCTTTGGGCTTGTCATATATGGCCTTTATTATATTGAGGTATGTTTCTTCTATACCCACTTTATTGATAGTTTTTATTATGAAAGGATGTTGAATATTTGTCAAATAATTTTTCTGCATCTGTTGAGATGATCATATGATTTTTACCTTTCATTCTATTAATGTGGTGTATCTTATTTTGTTGATTTGTGTATTTTGAACCATCCTTGCCTCCCAGGGATAAATCCCAGTTGATCATGGTGTATGATCCTTTTAATGTGCTGTTGAATTCAGTTTGCTAGTATTTTGTTGAGAATTTTTACATCTGTATGCATCAGGGATTTTGGCCTCTAGTTTTCTTTTCTTGTAGTGTTCCCATCTGGATTTGGTTTCAGGAGACTGCTGGCCTTGTAAAATGAGTTTGGGTGTCTTCCCTCCTATTTAATATTTTGCAAGAGTTTGAGGATTAACGTTAATTCTTCTTTACATGTTTGGTAGATTTTACCCATGACACCATCTGGTCCAGGGCTTTTTGTTGTTGTTGTTGAGAGGTTTTGTATTAGATTCAGTTTCCTTACATATTATTGGTTATGTTCAGATTTTCTATTTTTTATGATTAAGTCTTGGTAATTGTATGTCTCTAGGAATTTGTCCGTTTCTTCTGTGTCATCCCATTTGTTGGCATATAATTGGTCAAAGTAATGTCTTATGATCCTTTTAATTTCTGTGTCATCAGGCATAAAGTCTCTTTCATTTCTAATTTTATGTTTGAATCCTCTCTCTTTTTTTCATGGTAAATCCAGCTAAAGGTTTGTCAATTTTGTTTATCTTTTCAAAAAAAAACATCTCTTAGTTTTGTTGATAGTTTCTTTTTATTGTTGAAAAATATTCCATTCTCTGGATATACCAGGGTTTATCCATTCACCTATTGAAGGACACCTTAGTTGCTTCCAGTTTTTGGTAGTTTTGAATAAAGCTGCTATAACCATTCATGTGCAGGTTTTTATGTGGGCATAACTTTTCAACTCATTATGGTACATACCTAGGAACACAATTGCTGAATCATACGGTAAGACTGTGTTTAGCTTTATAAGAAACTGTCATACCATCTCTTAAAGTACTGTATTGCTTTGTATTCCCGCCAGCAATGAATAAGAGTTCTTCTTGTTCCACATCCCCAGTAGCACTTGGTGTTATCAGTGTTCTGGATTTTAGCCATTTTAATAGATGTGAAATGGTATCTCATTGTTTAAATTTGCAATTACCTAATGACATATGATGTTGAGCATCTTTTCCTATGATTGTCGTCTTTATATCTTCTTTGGTGAGGTCTCTGCTTTGGTATTTTGCCCACTTTTAAACTTGGTCCTTTATTTTTTTAAACAGTTTCCTTTAGTTCTTTGAATGTATATATATAACAGCTGCTTTCCATTCCTAGTTTAAAAAAATCTAAGAAGTAAGCCCCTTCTGGGACTTTTTTTTTTGTTGGTTGCCTTTTTTTTTTAGTTCTTGTTTGTATTTTTAAGCATGGCTTCCTCAGATCACCCCGAGTCAGTCTAAATCAGTGGTCAGTCGATGATGGGCCAGAAGATTTCCTTAAATGCCTTGAACCAGTAAGTTCTCCACCTTTTGCCAAGAGGATCTTTGTGTGAAGGTATACTTCATACTTTAGGAAGTTTATAAATCAGCCTTAGTTTTCATTTCTTATTTCCAGAGTTGAATGACTGGGGCCTTCTCCTGTCCCATTTCTTTCCTGGGTAGGTTCACAGTCTTGTATACTCATGCATACTTTCAGATCCCCAAGAATATGTTGGAACCTTTCAAAGTTCCCCTATGGCCATCTGATTTTCAAGGTCTTCCTTTTAAATTTTTAGCCAGGCTCTTGTTTGCCCCAAATTGAAATCACAGCCTTAGGCAGCTGTGATATTATCAGAAGATTGCTATGGTTTTCTTGGAATGCCCGGGGGAAAGGACTTTTTACATAGAGCTGAGCTCTGAGTCAAATCAAATGATAACAACACCCTAGGAATGGAGATTTTCCAGGTAGCTGCTAGTTTGGTGAAAATATTGACTGTGTTCTGGGGATGGGGCTTTTAATAAAGTTTCAAAAGATCCATTGGTGTGATAATGCTGGCTTTCATGGCTACCATACCTCTGAGCTTGGAAGGGAAGGAGGATGGGAATAACCTCAAGTTAAAACTTCACAGACTGGTGTTCTTACTGAGGTTCATTAGTTTTTTTTTGAATCGATACTTTTCAGTTCATTCTGTGCCTTTGGTTAATTTCCAATGTTCTGACCTGTTTTTTAAAATGTTTTTCCTGTATTTTATTGCCCAAGTAGGGGAATTCACTCACTAAGGTCATGAGCTTGATGTTCTGGACATTAGTTTGTTGACATCTCTAATTTTGGTGGAAAAACAATGTTCTTCTGAGACATTGCTTTAATATTTATTATGTATATAAATTGTGGTTTGTAAATGACAGATAAAACATTAGCACTTTTTCTTTTTGCGGAAACTTTTAGGCACACATTTGGGACAATTATATTCTTTCTTTTTCAGGTTCCTATTAGTTCTGAGTCTGTAGACCCATCTGATGATATTGAGGTACAATCTTTGATATGTCAGAGAGAATGCAGCAAAACTGTGAACACTGAAGCCTTAATGACAGTATTTCACCCTCAGAATTTGGAGACTCTTAATTCCAAAATGGTAGGAAAACAAAATATTTAAATCTATAGATTGAAACAGTTGATCAAAAATAAAAATCTTAGATCAGACTGAAAACTCTTCTTTTTGGGCTTGAAGAGGTTTTCTAGCAGGTACTACTGTGTGACATGTTTGGTTCCATTACAAAATAGGACTGTTATCAAGAATTAAGATGAAAGTTGAACCTTGGGCTTTATTTGCATAGATTTCTAACAGTCAATCCTAATTGGGGTGATTGGTGAGAATGATGGTTCAAAGCTTTACCTCCTAGGTGTCATGGTTTTACCATTTTAATATGAGAAGAACTAAAATAGTAAATTAAACCTGTTATGCTCACATGGATTTTAAAGATTTTTGTGATGACAGTGGTGCAGGGTTTAGCCCATCTGTGAATACTGATTTTGACTTTCTGTGTTCTTGTTTTCCATAGGTATTGTTTCATGGTGAAGAGAGTTATTGAGTTATTTGAAACTTAATTTCAAATTAAGTTAATTTCTCACCATGTTTAGTTGCTTTGATTTTTTTGTTATAGTTGAAAGAAAAGATGAAGGAACAGTCCTGGAACATCCTGTTTACAGAATGTGGGCGTGGTGTTAGCATGTTTCGGACCAAAAAGACTCAAGATCTGGTTGTAAGAGGGATTCCAGAGACCTTAAGAGGAGAGCTCTGGATGCTTTTTTCAGGTATTACATTTATTCACTTTATTCATTTAACAGACATTATCTATGCCCCTTCTAGGAGTTATGTACTAAGCTAAATAAAAATAATTACAAAGATGGCTAGGACTAAGTCTTATCATGAGTTCAGACTAGTCACAGAGAGTACGGTAGTTATGTGTACTTACGTATATATCCATACATCCATTGTCTGAGCAGATTAGTTTATTAGGCAATAGCTAACTGCAAGAGACAGGGTGGGAATCTCTAGTGTCAGAAGGAAGTTAAAGGGAAAAGACAGTTCATGAAAATGTTATTCTTTTGGATAAGATTCCTGTCCTGATGTTATAGATTCTAGTGGGAAGCTTTTCCTTTTATTTGTTTGTACTCAGATAACACTTGAGCATAAAGCTTAATTTAAAAGTAATCCAGTTCTTCATGTATATAGGCAAGTAGTAGCTTTGTTATGTTCCTCTTCTTTTGTATGTTAATGTGATCATCTGTACAGGTGCTGTTAATGACATGGCTGCTAATCCTGGCTATTATGCTGAAGTGGTTGAGCAGTCTTTAGGGACCTGCAACTTGGCTACTGAAGAAATTGAACGTGATTTGCGTCGCTCCCTGCCTGAGCATCCAGCCTTTCAGAGTGACACTGGCATATCTGCTCTGAGGCGGGTACTCACTGCTTATGCATTCAGGAATCCCAAAATTGGATACTGCCAGGTATGATTTCATTATGAGCTCAACTGTTATCGTGTTCCAAATGATAAAATCACATCAAATCCAACTCTACTAATAAGGACAGAGATTGGGCTGAGATTGATAGTGGATATTATTAATGCAAGAATGATAGTGGGAATACTTAGAATTGATATTCCATTAATTCATTTTTCTTTTAATTTAACAAATACTTACTGAATTCCTGCTCTGTAAAAGATACTGTGCTAGGTGCTCAAGACTATATAAAGCTGAATCAGATAATAATCCTGCCCTTAAAAATATATGGACTGGTAGGTATTAAAACATATTCAAGGACTTCCCTGGTGGTGTAGTAGTTGTGAATCTACCTGCTAGTGCAGGGGACAGTGGTTCAATCCCTGGTCTGGGAAGATCCCACATGCCATGGAGCAGCTAAGCCTATGTGCCACAACTACTGAGCCTGCACTCTAGAGCCCACACGCCGCAACTGCTGAGCCCACACACCACAACTACTGAAGCCCACGCACCTAGAGCCCATACTCCGCAACAAGAGAAGCCACTGCAGTGAGAAGCCCGCGCACCTCAAGAGTAGCCTCTGCTTGCTGCAACTAGAGAAAGCCCGTGTGCAGCAACAAAGACCCAATGCAGCCAAAAACAAATAAAAAATTTAAAAACAAAAACAAACAAAAAAGCATATTCATTGGCAAAAGAAAAACAAATGAGACAATTTATTAGAGAAATATTAAGTCTCACCAGGATTTATAATAGGGATAAGTTGGAGGAACAGAGAAGGCTGCATGGAAGAAGTGGCATTTTTAGGTCTTGAAATTGGTGAATTTTAGATGTATGGAGATGGAATGAAATACCATTTGTAGGTGAAGGGATCAGTGTAACCAAACACAGAGGTAAATGTGGAATATATGTAGGACCATGTTCTGTTTAGTAGAATTGTAGAGTGAATGAAGTGAGGTAATTGAGGGAAAAAATCAAAAAGGTAGATTGGGATAGGTCAGGAGTTTGAATGTTACTTTGTAGGCAGTGGGGGAATCACTGAAAAAAATCCTTTAGGACACGAAAGGGTATGCCAGACTGCTAACACACATAATCTCAAACACAATAGAAGTTTACTTAAAGGAATAAACAGAGGAGAGCAAATATTCAAGTCAGTAGGTAGCTGTCCTCCATGTGATTATTCAGGGATTTAGGCTGACAACAGGCTCTGTCATCTTCAAAACATGGCTTCCAAGGTGCTCTTTCATTGCCATTACTACTCACAGGAAGAGGGGAGAGAGCATGGAGAAACAATTATGAGAAATTATATTGGCCAGGCCTGGAAGTTGCATACATCACTTCACCCACATTTTATTGGAGGATCTTGGTCTCATGGCCACACCTATTCATAAAGAAGTCTGCAAAATGTAGCGTGGTTGAGCACATGTACATCCAGATACTACGGAAGAAGGGGAGATTGGGTTATGGTGGATAGCTAGCACTCTCAGCCACACATTCATTTATGATGGGGTTGAGTACCCATAATGATTACATATCAGTCCTACCTATCCATTGAAACTTATCAATAGAGAGGTATTTTTGAAAAGCAATTTAAGTGAGTGGATCATCTGAATGACCAGTATTTAGCATGTTTTAGGATCTCTGAAAGGTAATAAAGAAGCATAATGCTTCTTTTCTCAAAGAGCTTACACTCAGCCTATAATGTTATCTATATGTGGTAGTTTAAAGGCAGCTTCAAAGTAGGCAACACTTGATTTTTGACTTCTAAAAAATGAAAGCAAAATTAGAAACATGGAGGGCCAGAGGAAAGTTATTCAGAGTTAGGTAACACTATAAGCAATACCATTCAGGTGAAAATAAGCCTGCCATGGAGATCAGACTGGCTAGGTTCGTGCTGGAATCAAGAAGTAAATAAGTTTGTGTGAGGCAAGATCATGGTGAATCTTTCAAGCTTGGGAGAAGTTTGAATTTAATATGATAAGCAGGTTTTGTTGCTTTTGACCAAAAACTCGGGTGAGCCATACTGACTCATGGCTGGCTGACTGGCTTTGTTTATGTTTTCTTCTTCCATCCTTCCCTCCGTTCCTTCCATCTATCTGATCTATCTTCTTCCTTCTTTTCTTCCTTCCTTTCCTTTTTTCATTCCTTTTTCCTTTCATCTATCTAGAGATAGAATTCACATACCAGAAACTTCACCCATTAGTGTTTTTTAGTATATTCACAAAGCCATGCAACCATCATCACAGTCTTAACCTCCATAACACTTTCATCACCCCAGAAGGAAGCCCCACATCCATTAGTAGTTACTCCCCATTTCTCCCTACTCCCAACCCTAGGCAATCACTAATCTACTTTTCTGTTTCTATGGATTTGCCTATTATGGATATTTTATCTAAATGGAGTGATACAATATGTGGTCTTTTGTGTCTGCCTGATTTCATTTAGCATATTGTTTTCAAGGTCCACCCATGTTGTAGCATGTATTAGTACAATACTTCATTCCTTGCTATGGCTGAATAATAGTCCATGGTATGGATATACAACATTTTGTTCAACAGTTGGTAGGCATTTTGGGTTGTTTCCACATTTTTGCTATTGTGAATAATGTTGCCATGGATATTCATGTACAATTTTTTGTGTGGATGTGTTTTTTCATTCTTTTGGGTATTTAGCTAGAAGTGGAATTGCTGAGTTATGTGGTAACTTTATGTAACTTTAACATTTTGGGGCAATGCCGAACTATTTTAAAAAGAGACCGTACCATTTTACATTCCCACCAGCAATGTGTGTGATGGTTCCAATTTCTCCACATCCTCGGTGACACTTGTTATTATCTCTCTTTTTGATTATAGCCATCCTAGTGAATGTGAAGTGGTATCTCGTGGTTTTGATTTGCATTTCCCTAACATGCTTATTGGCCATTTGTATATCTTCTTAGGAGAAATGTCTATTCAAATCCTTTGCCCATTTTAAAAATTGGATTATTTATCTTGTTACTGTTGAGTTGTAATGGTTCTTTATATATTTTGGATACTAATCCTTTATCAGATATAGTATTTGCAAAATTTTTCTCCTGTTCTGTGGATTGTTTTTTTACTTTCTTTTTTTTTTTGTGGTACACGGGCCTCTCACTGCTGTGGCCTCTCCCGTTGCGGAGCACAGGCTCCAGACGCGCAGGCTCAGTGGCCATGGCTCACGGGCCTAGCCGCTCCGCGGCATGTGGGATCTTCCCGCACCGGGGCACGAACCCATGTCCCCTGCATCGGCAGGCAGACTGTCAACCACTGCGCCACCAGGGAAGCCCAGTTTTTTCACTTTCTTGATGGTGTTCTTTGAAGCACAAAAGTTTTAATATTTGTTTTTGTATGTTTTCGGTTGTTGTGTGTGCTTTTGATGTCATATCTAAGAAGCCAGTGCCTAATCCAGGGTCAAGAAGATTTAGTCCTATGTTTTCTTCTAAGGGTTTTATAGTTTTAATGCTTAAATTTAGGTTTCTTGACCATTTTGTCTTAGTTTTTGTGTGTGGTGTATGGAAAAGGTTCAGCTTCATTCTTTTACTTGTGGATAGCCAGTTGTCCCAGTGCCATTTGTTGAAAAAAAAGCAGTCTTTGACTCATTGAATTGTCTTGGCACCCTTGCTGAAAATCACTTGACTATAAATGTTAGGGTTTATTTCTTTTTCTTTTCTTTTTTTTAGAAGATGTTGGGGGTAGGAGTTTATTAATTAATTAATTAATTTTTGCTGTGTTGGTCTTCGTTTCTGTGCGAGGGCTTTCTCTAGTTGCGGCGAGCGGGGGCCACTCTTCATCGCGGTGCGTGGGCCTCTCACTGTCGCGGCCTCTCTTGTTGCGGAGCACAGGCTCCAGATGTGCAGGCTCAGTAGTTGTGGCTCATGGGCCTAGTTGCTCTGCGGCATGTGGGATCCTCCCAGACCAGGGCTCGAACCCGTGTCCCCTGCATTAGCTGGCAGACTCTCAACCACTGCACCACCAGGGAAGCCCTAGGGTTTATTTCTTGACTCACAATTCTATTCTATTGACTTATGTTTCTGTTCTCATGCCAGTATCACCCTGTCTTTTTTACTACAGCTGTGTAGTAAGTTTTGAAATTGGGAACTGTGAGTCCTTTAACTTTTTCTTTCCAAAATTGTTTTGGCTTTTTAGGTCTCTTGCATTTCCATATGAATTTTAGGATCTGTTGTCAATTTCTGGATAAAGAAGAAAAATCCAGCTGGAATTTTCTTAGTCATTGCATTGAATCTGTAGATCAACTTGGGTGATATTGTATATTAACAATATTAAATCTTCTAATACATGAACACAGGATGTTTTTCTTTTCCATTTATTCTTTTAAAATTTCATTCAAGGTTGTTTCATAGTTCCCTATGTGCAAGACTTTACTTCCTTTGTTAATTTTATTTCTGAGTTTTTTATTCTTTTTGACATTACAGTAAACGGAATTGTTTTCTTGATTTTATTTTTGGATTGCTCAATGCCAGTATATAGAAATACAATTGATTTTTGTATATATTGATCTTGTATCCTGCAATCTTGCTAAGCTTATTAGTTCTAGTAGATTTTTTTTGTGGATTCCTTATTTAGAATTTTCTATGTACAAGATCATGGAATCTGAATAGTGATATTTTTTACTTCTTCCATTCCAACCTGGATGCCTTTTTTTCCTCTTTTTATTGCCTGATTGACCTGGCTATAACCTTCAGTACAGTGTTGAAGAGAAGTGGTGAGAATGCATATTCTTGTCTTGTTATTTACCTTAAGGGGAAGCAATCAGTCTTTCATCATTAAGTATGAGGTTAACTGTGGGCGTTTTATAGATTCTTTTTATCATGTTGAGGAAGTTCCCTTATATTGCTAGTTTGTTGAGTGTTTTTATCATGAAAGGGTGGTGGATTTTGTTAAGTAATTTTTCTGTGTCTATCGAGATAATCATGTGATTTTTTTTCCTTTATTTTAGTAATATCATTGTTGACCTGAAACAAATAGACCACCAGA